TGCGTTCTCCTGAGCACACACAGAGCCCGCTGACCAGCCTCCTACGGCGGCTCAGATGGCTTCTGTGGCCGGGAGGGGAGGGGCAGGGGGGGTGGGGTAGCGGACAAAGTAACTGACACGTGTCTGTCCCTCTGTCTCTTTTAGAACCTAGTGTCCCTAGGTGAGGGCTATGGTTTCTCGTCTTCCCGACTCTGTCCTATCTCAGTTTGCATGCCGGACTCGCTCGGTCTTAGGAACTTCTAATAAGAATACTATTCTGTTTGGGGGAGGGGAGCTGGGCCCTACTACCTTACCTTTAAAGATAACTGGAGGGGAAAAAAAAAGGGGGATAACAAAACCTTTAATGGCCCAAAAAAAAAAAAAAAAAAAAAGTAGTATATCAACCATCCAAAAGAGGCATCTATATTAAAAAATGGCTGATTGACAATCTACTGTACCAGGGTTGGCCTTTGAGAATTCTGGCAAGTCCTCACTAAGCAGCCTACTGTGTACCAGATGTGGTGCCAAACCCTCGAGCCCTACTAACACCTTGCCTGCACGTCTCTGTGACCCCGTCCTGCAAGTAAACATCAGTCTTAACATTCGTGATAAATAAAAATTCTCTGCATGTTTCAGTATTCCCCGTATCTTGCGTCTGTCTTCTGTCTTTAGTCTGTCTATCCCCACAGGAGGAGGAGGTACAGAACTACATGGAACTTAGTTCAACCTTCTCCTGCCCCCTAGGCAGCCAAGCAGGCGGTTGGGGCTCCTGACCTCAGAACCCAGCTCTGCTTTACCTGGGAGGGGAGGGGAGAGGAGGGGGAGCACGCCCACGGGACTCCCAGCTCCAGCCCCCATCTTTTTGCTGATCAGAATTCTAACAATTGGCATATATTTTGCCTTTGTTACGGAGTTTAGAGACATCTAAGGAATTTTCTCTGAATTTCACAATCAACGTTAAATTCATTAAGCGATAGTAAAAATGACTGGTAAACCTGCCAACCCCCATATAATATCTCCATCTACATAGTAATTGCTTCAATGGAAGGGTTTTATGTTTTAGTATTACACACCCGAATTAGATTTTAGATTTCTATTTTAGCTGTTTTATACTTGATATACTCCCACACCTATTCACATACGTAGATGAATACTGAACACGTTCTCAAAATATCCGTATTTTAAGACTGGAAGTTTTCCAATTATCATACTACTACTTAGACCAAAATACAAAACTGACTGAAGGAACCTCGTTTCTGGAAATACTTTTCTGTTGTTGTATGTGGGTTTGGATGTTTAACACGGAACATACCTGATGTCACTGCCAGGGGACTTGAAACCAAAGCGGGTGGCATTCGTTGCCAAGGAGATGGTGCCTGTTCTTCATGAATGGGGATGCGTTTGTCCTGGGGAGTGGGTAAATCTTGAATTTGGGTGTGAATATTCAAGACAATGTCCTTTCCATCTCTTACCATCTGAATAGCTGCTTTTAGACCACAGGACCAAGCTGGGAACCCTGGGATCCCACAGGGCCAAAGCAGAGCAGTCCTGCAGGGTGCCCAGGGCTCTCTCCCAGGAGGGCTACAGGGTCAGGTTTCCAGTCCGCATGCAGATCCCGGTCTCCAGGGCTGCGGACTCCCTGTGCTCCCCGTCCGAGGCACTGTCGCTTACACGGCCCTGGGGAGGGGTCCTAGTACCACCTGCCCTCCCACCCCTGCACTGATGGGCAGCCCCTTCAGACTCGCCAGTTCCTCTTACTCCAGTGTGCAAAGAGCAGGAGCTGCAGGGGCCTCGGAGATTCCAGGTGAAGGGTGTGTGGTGAGCTTGCCCAGAACATGGGGACCCACCCCTCAAAGACTAACTGTTCACTCAGAAGATAAACCTCAGGAACAGTTAGCTGTTAAAATGATTACAACTCTTTAAAAAGAAAAGATCAGGTTGTTTGCGGGACAGCCTCTTGCAGGTGTGGTGAAGCCTCCGCCCTACCCGCCAGCTGTGGCTGCTGTCCCTGCCTGTTCCTGGGTTCCTCGGGCTTTGATTTGTTTCAGTTCCATAACTCCTGGCGAGGCCGCCAAGTGAGTGCTTCAAAACGACAATCTTGGGAGATTTTTTTTTCCTCCTTTTTGTTTTTTTTTAAATTACAAAGATAAGATCTACCCTTTCTTTGTCCCCCCCTCCCCCCAGTGTCTGCCTCTGTAACTTGGACTTTTCCTCTCTGCCTCGGTTTCCCATCATCCGGGAGAAGCTCTCACATAGTCTCCCCATGTCACAATGTTGCCACATCCCAGGGTCTGACACACAGTAGGTGTGCTCTGCCGCCCCCAGGAGCAGAGAAAGTGAGGGTCGGGTGTAGACTGGCAGCATAAACACACCGAGCAAGGGTCCTCCTTGTCCTCTTACTGCCGATCCGAGACCCTCCCTTGGCTCTACCTCTAATGAAAGCATACGGCATTTAGGTCAGTGTGGTCTGGTGCACAAGTTCACGTTGTTAGGGGAACCCAGGAGCCAGAGGGTGTGGCCATGGCCCGTGGCCCCAGTAACTGAGAGATCATTCCTCAAAGGCCACACAGGCGTGTGCCTTATGTCCGAAGTAATTTTGTATACAAAATGAAAAGCAGTGAGATCTTTAAGCTCTGACCAACAGAGGGACCTGCCCTCACCCCTACAGTCACAGTGCTAGTGGAGTAGGCTCTGGCTTCATTCCTGGTCAAAGGACAGCCCACGTGTGTTGCCCTGTAACTTGGACGCGTTGCGAGTTGCTGCCAGCCGCAACGCCCAGAGGCATCTTCCCAAGACAGGCACACCAGCATGTAGGTGAACAGGCCCGCAGACCCTGAAATCACCACTTTTAAGGCTCCCACCTGCACTCGCTAAGTCAGCAGCCAGTGAACCCCGAGTCAGCCCCCGACACATTCTCCCCCAGGGTGTGGGGCTAGGCCGGCCTCCCCAGAAGTGTGAGTGTGGGAGCTGAGAGCCATGAGGTGCGACTTCTGGTACAGTAGCCTCCATCGTGAGCTCGATTGCAATTGGTGAACTGGCCCGCATCGGCCGTGTCCTCGGGACACACAATTTATCGTTCAAAACCACCCCGACCGGTCCCTCCAGCCCTGTCTGTGCACAGACCCAAACCCACGGCCCCAGAAGAACAGAATACTATGCTTCTTAGTTGCGATGACCTGAGGGGCGCGACGCCCTTTGCCAATGTGATGCAATATGGCTCTTTCCTCTTCAATCCCACTGTAGTGAGAAGGCGACGAAGGTGCAGGACATCAAGAACAACCTGAAGGAGGCCATCGAGGTAGGTGCGCCCCCGCCCGGCGCGCGGCCCGCCCATCGCGCCGCCCTGACCGCGCTCTCGTCCCTGCAGACCATCGTGGCCGCCATGAGCAACCTGGTGCCCCCCGTGGAGCTGGCCAACCCCGAGAACCAGTTCCGGGTGGACTACATCCTGAGCGTGATGAACGTCCCCGACTTCGACTTCCCTCCCGTAAGCTGCACGCGGCCCACGGAGGGAGGAGGGACCGGGACCTGGGCTCTGTGGGTGCCTCCCGGTTTCAGAGACCTCATCCCCAGCATCATAGGACTTTGTTGAGGTGGACGAGCCAAGGGCTGTTACTCCCTGAAACCCGGCTCCCCGCCTCTGCAAAGCAATACCATGCTTTAATACTCAGTTCACGCTTTATGAGAGTATAAGTCTTCGTGGAGAACGCCCTGGCCGTGGAGGCCTGGTTCATGCCTCCGCCGCCATCTTGGGGACTGTGTGACACGCAACTGTGTGTTGACTCTGGCCTTCGGTGGGCTGAAGACGGGCAAGGGGGAACCGCAGAGGGCTGGCGAAGACTTCTCATTTTCAGCAGATTACATTTTAACCTTTCTTAAGATTTTCCTAGAATCAATCCTTGCCTTTGGGGCAAATGAAAATAAAATCACAGTATTAAAATGAGTTTTTAACAATACCTAAATTATAAGTCAAATGACAAAATACAGCATATAGGAGAAGAGCCTTTTGTGCCTCCCCTCCATCAGGGTTCGTGGCACTGATCACAAAGATGTGTCTCCCACAGACCTGTCCTTGGGGCTGCAGACAGGCACCACTGGCCCCAGTGGGGAGCAGTGGTTGGTCAGAGGAGGAGGAGAGCCGGGCAAGAGGCAGGGGTTTATAAGGCCCAGAAGGAAGAGGCTCGTCTGTGCTCAGAACAATGAGTTATTGTTGCCTTTTGTTAGCCGTTCGTGGGAATTTGTGTTTGTGTATTTTAAGCGGGTTTGGCTACACACTTAGGAGGTGCAGTGTTCATTAGCTCGGGCAGATACATCTTTTTAAACAGTATTTGTTGGAAATGTGGGCGGTAAGCAATGTGTTTTACATTGCCCCCCAACTGCCCGGAACTGGGGCTTCCTAACTGATGGCAGCCTCGTTAAATGCCTGCAGACAGCCGCCTTTCCTTAGTCCTGCCGCCAGCTGAACTCGGCGCTCCTGTCTACCGTTTCCTTTCATTATTACTTTCTTTGGGTAAAATTTATATTTTCCTGGAAGGAAAACTTAGTCCGGCACATCTTAACAAATGAAGTTTGTTGCCCCAACAGTGGCTCACCCATTGGTAGATTCTAACCTAGACTTTGGTGCATGTGCTCCCTGCGTAGACACTGGGGAAGACGGTGACTCCGGAGTTAACGCCACCCCCTCCCCCACCAGTAACTCACAGGAAGAGCGAGCATTGCGTTCAACTTCTGAACGTGGCCCTTTTTCCAGGCTCCTAGTTGAGGGTGGACAGCAGGTGTGGGTCATCCAGTGGACTGTGGTCCTGGAGTGCACGCATGTCTCCCCCTGATGCCATCTTCTGTGTTCCCTGGCAGGAATTCTACGAGCACGCCAAGGCTCTGTGGGAGGACGAGGGAGTGCGTGCCTGCTACGAGCGCTCCAACGAGTACCAGCTGATCGACTGCGCCCAGTAGTGAGTCCCCCCCGCAGGCGCTGGCGCGGGCACCCGCCTCCCGCCCTCCAAGTTACCTCCCTGTGATTCTCAGAAAAGCCAAGTAGTCATCCCACCTGTAGTTCATTCCCATCTGGTTTGGTTGTTCTGTAAAACCCTTAATTGCACTGTTTGGTGCAGTCACATTATTCTGTATAAACAGTTAATGCCTGTTAGAACAAAAGGGTAGCATTTGTGAGAAAGTGATGTTCATAATTGATTAGCTTGAAATCATTCACTGAATTGACCTCAAAGCATTTAGGGAGATAAGGCAGCTCTCACACTATGGCGAAGCAAAAATATTCTGCTTTATTGCCGTAATTTAAAAACATGAAGAGGGGCGGCGGTGGCAGAGATGGAGATGCCTCCCCAGTAGCCATTGTCTCTGCCACTCCTCGACCAGGGGAGTGCCCACACGCTAGTCCACATCTGTGCTGCTCGGGGATGCGCCTGCGTGCCATAGAGCTGGGTTGCATGTGGTCTTGACTTGAATTCTGTTTCATATTTTCTATTCCTTCACTCTGGGTCTTGATTCAAGGATGGTAAGTGGTCGGTGGATTTTTAAACCCTGAACTATACACCTAAACAGCACAGTACAGTGGTGGGGTATTTCCAAGAAAGATAAATTACTGAGAGAGAGACGGGGAGAGGCTTCTCTTTCAAGTCAGTTACACGGGGAGGCTCCCCTGATCAAAACAAAAACAAAACAAAGCAGACTTGACTGCACACCTCCATGTGACCAAGCTGCTACACCTGCAGCCTGCGGCCCCCGCTCTGTCCTGCCCCTTTGTGCTGTACCGCACACACATCTGCGGAATCACCTTTAAGCCACTGACGAGCTCCCTGTCCTGCACGGGATCCCACGGTGTGTGGGTGTGTGGGTGTGTGGTGGTCGGCCGAGGACAGCTTCGAAGCTGTCTTTTCTTTGCTGTCTCAGAGGCAGTAGCAACCCACCTCGGGATCCCCTTGACGGGGGGAGTGTCCCTGGGGAGGTGGGGCAGAGGGTGCAATGCGGATGTTTGATGTCAGCCTCACTCAGCATAAGCAGCTGAACCCCAGGAGCGACCTTATGACAGAAATTACTAAGTGCTGAGGCCATGGTGCAGCCCTGAGCTCACACTTAGCAGCCCAGCTTAGGAGCTGAACCCAAGACGCCGTGGCTCCACAGGGCGGAGAGAGCCAGAGCCAGTGCCTGCAGGCAGCAAGGCCCGCGGCTCACAGACCTTGGCGTGAGGGCCGGTGAAGTCAGTCTGTCTTTCCCAAGCCTGGCTTCCAGAGGAAGTTCATTGGATTATTTTCAGTGGTCACTTACATATTTCGTGGTTTAATGTCCAAGCAAATTTGTGTATTTTTGCAAGCAACAGAAAAAACTGTCCCTCTGACCCCAGCCCCCACTCCCTCTTCAACAAAGTCCCTGATTTTCTCCAAAGTTTGAACTAAAAGCTGGAAGCGCTAATTATAGTAATACAGAGCAGATGGAAATCCTGGAATTGTCTGTGTCCTGTATCTTGGAGCCAAGGCAGGAGCTAAGTGCAGGTACAGGCCTAGGGCTCGAGCTGGAGAGGGCGGGGACGGGCTGTGGCGATTTTTATAATCAAGTCCAGCCAGCTTTTTAGGGTTTTTCTATTTTCGTGTTTTAACTTGCTATAGGGCATGTGTGCTCACTGGAGAAAGAGATAGAGAAAAGGAAAAAGCACCTCCCCAGGGAATGGCCATGCCACCCTCCCTTCTCTCAGGATTTCGGGCATACACACACACACACATGTTGGATGCGTTTTTCAAGCCACTGGGCCCGGGACTTGAACCACACAATCAGCCATATGGGATTCAGCCACCTTAACCACCATACCACTGGCTGGCCTGGCAGTTTTTTGGTCACACTGTGTAAAAGTTTTCTTTTTTTTTTTTTTTTAAGCAACCCAAAATTATTCCTGAAAGTTTATCAGAAAATGACATCCATTTGCATGGATCATGAAAACTTTTCAGGAAATGCAAAGGGAAAAAAAACCAAACCAAAACAAAACAAAACAAAAAAACACAGCTTCAGAGTTGTCAGTTTTCTGCCTTCCCTGCCCGATGGCTGGGGCAGCCCTGTGTGGGTGGTGACCAGCGTGGCTCTGGTCCGGCTCTATGCTAAAGTCCAGGTGCTGGTACCGGCCCGTGTCTCAAGCCGCCTGTTTTTATTTGTTGAGCTGGGTTTGGCTGGCTCCACTCCAGATGTCTCTCTCACAAGATTTGGTGCTGATCTATTTATAGAACTGTGGTTCTGTTGCCGTGGCAACCTGCTGGAGGCCAGGGCGGCTGGGGAGCTATTTCTGGCCTGGTGCTGTAATGCAAGACCCATTGGGCAAGGTAGTGCATCCTCCGAGCCAGACAAACTGCACTGCGAAGGAGGAAGGAGGAAGGAGGAGAGAGTCAGGGAGCCACTTTAAATAGGCTTTTCTGCCTTTGCCACTTTCTTTCCTGATTAAGCCCACTTTAAAACCGGTCCGACCTCCACCCACCTGTCCTTCCCCACCACAACTCGAGCTGGTGCTAACATTAGTTTTCTGTATTAAATTATGCCCCGCTTTCTCAGTTTCGTTTTTCTGACTGTACTCGAGCAGTACAAGCAAGATCCTTTCTCCCATCGCCAATTTCGCAGGCGGAGCTGTTGGTTTCAGGGACCGAGCAGAACGGAAGGGAGCGTGGCGTTCGCTTCCTGCTCCGTGTGGTCAGGGCACCAGGGCCCCCCACGGCAACCTCTCCTGTTCTCTTGAAGCAGTGAGATTCTTCAAAAGAGAAAGGAAGGGGGCCAGACTCCGAGTCTCGGATGCCAGCTCTGTCCTGGCAGAGAAAGCCTTGCCGCTTTACGTGTGACACTTCGCATGCTTTTTTTAAAGCTCAGTGACAGAGGTGTACAGTCCCCAAAGTCTCCCCCATTTCAGTCAGGGCCACACAGCTCAACGTAAATCTGGGGGCGGGGGCCAGTCATCAGCAGATGGCACCAAATCAGGCCCGATTGGCACCCCATTTCTAGTGGCTGGCAGACAGAGTCGGCCTTTTGAAAACGAAAGTGAGAAGGAAGCTCCACCACGGTGTGTGCTGCGGCGTGGCCCGAGCGCGGGCAGCTGCTGGGCACGGTCCCCGACTCCCACGAGTGTCTGTCCTGGCCTCCGCTTGCTCGCACCTGCTCGGGCATAGGCGGAGTCACCAGCGTGGCGGGCACAGTGCACCACCTCACTGCCATTCTGCCCACCTTGTACGCCCGGCGCAAGTGGCCGACGGCGGGCCCTCTGAACCCCGCCCTGTCTTCCTTCTCTCCAGCTTCCTGGACAAGATCGATGTCATCAAGCAGGCCGACTACGTGCCAAGTGACCAGGTGCGCAGAGCGTCACGCTCAGGGCCACGTGCCCAGGGTGGTGGCCCCGGCTGGGTGGGTTCTGGTGAGACCCGCTGACCTGTGGACTGTTTCAGGACCTGCTTCGCTGCCGCGTCCTGACCTCTGGGATCTTTGAGACCAAGTTCCAGGTGGACAAAGTCAACTTCCAGTGAGTGACCAATTCCCTGTTGTGGTTTTTCCTCATGTTTTTGCCATAGGGGGTGTGCGGGCACCGGAGGGAGACAGGGAAAGTGAGAAATCACCCCCTCCTGTCCCTGGGGTGGCCATGCCACAGTCCCTTCTCCAAGATTTTTGGGCTTGCACACACACACCCGGTGTGCTTTTCAAGCCGTCAAGTCCGGGACTTGAACTGCTCCGTCAGCCTTGTGAGCTGCAGCCACCTTAACCTCCATGCTGCCTCCTGGCCCCACCCCAGTTCACTTTGTCGGCAGAGCAGCGCGGCGAGGGTGGTGGGGACCCCGAGGGAATAACGTCTTCTCCCCGCAGCATGTTCGACGTGGGCGGCCAGCGGGACGAGCGCCGGAAGTGGATCCAGTGCTTCAACGGTAGGCTGCCGTGGGCCGCGCGCTCCCGGGCTACTGCTGGCCTTTGCGCTCCTAACGCTTGTTGCTTTTGCTCTCTCGTGGCTAAGACGTGACTGCCATCATCTTCGTGGTGGCCAGCAGCAGCTACAACATGGTCATCCGGGAGGACAACCAGACCAACCGCCTGCAGGAGGCCCTGAACCTCTTCAAGAGCATCTGGAACAACAGGTACCGGCTGGGGCCTGGGCCTGCCCGGGGTCTGGGCCTGGCGCCAGGCCCCGGCATCACGCCTCCCTCCCCTGCCAGGTGGCTGCGCACCATCTCTGTGATCCTGTTCCTCAACAAGCAAGACCTGCTTGCTGAGAAGGTCCTCGCTGGGAAGTCAAAGATCGAGGACTACTTTCCAGAATTCGCTCGCTACACTACCCCTGAGGATGGTAGGCGGGGCCCTGGCCTGTTCATGCAGGGGGCCTTGAGAGGGCGGGCTGGAAGCGCACCCCTGCACGGCCGGGCTCGGGGCAGGAAGGCCCACCCCTCCCACCCGAAGCTGGGGTCCGGAGACGGCAGGGCTGCAGCACCGTTAGCACCAGGTTCTGTCCCTGCCTTTCACTCCCGGAGGGGGTAAACCACTTCTGTTCTCTGCAGCTACTCCCGAGCCCGGAGAGGACCCACGCGTGACCCGGGCCAAGTACTTCATCCGCGACGAGTTTCTGGTGAGCAGAGGCTTTTCTCTTTGGGGGACAGCGGGGCTTAGTTCTGAGTTTTGGGGTCAGGCTGTCCAGCCTCCCACTCTGCTTCTCCCGGGGAGGGTTCCTCACAGCCCACGGGGGGCCCTGGGAGAGGCCGAGCTGACCCGGCCGTCCTGCCCTTGCGCCTGCAGAGAATCAGCACCGCGAGCGGAGACGGGCGCCACTACTGCTACCCTCACTTCACCTGCGCCGTGGACACCGAGAACATCCGCCGCGTGTTCAACGACTGCCGTGACATCATCCAGCGCATGCACCTCCGGCAGTACGAGCTGCTCTGAGAAGGGACCCCAGTTTAACCACAGCCTTGAGCACGATTAATTAAAAGTGAGACGTCACTGTACAAGCAGTTAATCACCCAGCATAGGCATGATTAACGCCGCCACCTTTCCCCCCCCCGAGTGATTTTGCGAAACCCCCTTTTCCCTTCAGCTTGCTTAGATGTTCCAAATTTAGAGAGCTTAAGGCGGCCTACGGAAAAAGAAAAAGAAACAGGCCTCGAACGTTCCCTCTCACTTTCAGTAAACGAAACAACGGCAGCAAACAGAAATAAAGAAACAAATGAAACAAATGAAATAAATATTGTCTTGTGCAGCATTAAAAAAATCAAAATAAAAATTAAATGTGAGCAAAGAATGACGTGAGGCAGTGGACTACTTGCAGTTCCAAGCAGGTTCCCGTTCATGATTTTGACCTGGGTCCTGGCATCAGAAGTTGGGAGACCCCAAGCTGAGGTCCGCCCCTCACCCCCCAAGTTAGATGTGGACTCTTACCACTCACTATAAGTCTGCGGCGACCTCTTCTGGGAATTCCTTAAAACAAATCATAGGCAATATACAGAGTCCATCCCTGTCCCTCTCCAGCTTGTGCCCCAGAGAGCCCTCCATCTTGGTCATGGCTGCCCCACCTGAGGAGCCCACCGATTTAAGCTCAGTATTACATCTCCACGCGGGCCCACCTCCCCAGTGCCCACCCCAGAAGGTATTCTATGGTTTGCTTTGTGACAGGGACCAAGTAGGGGGAGATGGAAGAGCACAGGGTCCCAAAGCACAAGGGGGTGGCAGTTATCCACAATTGGTGTTGAGACCCACCACTTAGGGAAGATGTAAACTGGGTTCCCTGCCCGCAGACGAGTTCGTTGTGGGCCAATCACGTACCGAAGTCAGTAGGTATTTAGAGCAATGGCTGGCTGGACATTTAAAATCTGACTTATGGCTCCGAGACCTAAAAACCTTAAGGGGTGGGGGAGTGGTGGCTACATAGGATTGAAGTACAGAGCGGAGGTGGGCTGAGTGAAGACTTGTAACAAAGGGGTGATCTTCCTATAAACAAAGTTCCATCAGTTCTTGGGCCACCAGGTGGTGTAGTGGTTGAGAGCCCTGGACTCCCACATGGTGGCCCATGGTTCAGGTCCTGGACCTGGTGGCTTGCCTTCTCATTCCCCTGCCTTCTCTCTCCCTCACTCTCACTCTCCCTTTCTGGTTAAATAAAGTTCAATAAGTACTTATTTTTTAAAAAAGAATTTCATCAGTTCTTAAGGAAAACCGTCAGAAAGATCGGCAAAGTACATCAACATGCTATTTGCTAAGAGAAGATATAAACTGATAAATTAGCTCACAAGCACCTGCGAACATGGAACATCACCCGCAATGAAAGCAAATACACGTAAAACTTTCGCCATAATTGGGAGTGAGGTGGGGAGACTCACTCATGGGCACCATACCAAATGATGGAGTAGGGATGGCCTAAGAGTCACAGGGGCTCCCCTGCCTACCCCACACACGAGGCAGATCTCAAGCTCCTGATAACCAGGGCGTGGCTCCCTGGAAGGGTGGGAGGAACAGGTCATCACTGTCCGCGCAGCAACCACTCCCCTCCAAAACCGGCCGAGTGGGATGTGGGGTCACGTCCACTTTATGACCCGGGCCCTTCACTCCCTATGCCAGATTCACCATCCAGTGTAACTCACAAGAGATGAGCCATGAGCCCCAATGAGGACAGGAAGTAGGAAGCACTACCACCTCCACAGATCTTTCCAAGGTATCTACGGTAATAACACTTCTGTACAGGTTCAAGTACCCAAGGGCTCTCAAGAGCTCCCCACGTAAACCCATAGTCCAAGTGAAAACCAGGGCTTGCTATGCAGATGGTGGCGGAAGAGCAGCCCATAAACTCCCACAGGCCTTCAAAGTACCCCAAATGTACCCAACCAACTACCAGCTGGACAGTAGCCAATGTGCAGGTAGGAGCCACCCTTCCAAACCACCATGTGTACAAACACCCACCCGAGTACACAGGGCTGGTGACAAGGTAGAAACCCAGGCCCCCAGGCCCTCTTCTAAGATGTCTCCTGCCCACTCCCCGTCCTACCTAGAAAGTCTGAAACCTCTGGAAAATCCATTTAAGAGGGTCATAGCCGAATACCCATCAAAATTAGAAAACACAAATTCCCAGGCAGGGGCTGTTAGACCAAGGAAGGTGATAACCCCAGAACTCCGCCTTGCTTGCAAACGCAGAGGCTCCGCAGTCGCTTCTGTCAGGAGGGCAATAAAAGTCGCATGGTCAGAAGCATGCTATGTGCCTGCCCAGCCCAGGGATCGAAGTTAGGCTATGGCCACCATTCCCCAGCGGGTGACAAGCAGACAGTAAGCTCAAGATGAGCCTCAAACCCCGCCAGGCAAAGCCCGCTGCTGGACCCCAGCATGGGCCCGCGGTACTGAGCGATGCAGGAACAAGGTCGGGTGTTTTTCATCATGCCAGTGGTCAGGAGTGGTGACCGGTGACCCCAAGCGGAAATCCTGCAGGGCACCTTGGGATTCCACATCCGGGTGGGTGGGGGCCCTCTTCCCTCAGAGAGCACGCAGGGCGTAGGCCTGCCCCCCACAACTCAGCTATGATCACCGCTTCCTACCTTCAGAGCCATCCTTCTATTTAAAACAGCTGTGTTTTCTTTAATGAATGAATTTAATTAAAATTTTTAAAAATTTGCTTCCATTTTCTCTTTGACTTTGGTACCAAACATAACTTTTTTGTCTATATTTTAAATCCAAATTCTAGAATCTTCAGTTAGCAAAAAAATAAAAATAAAAAATAAAAGGAAAAATTCCTTCCAAATCTTACAAGAAGCCATTATTTTAAAAAATGTTAAGCTGAATTTTAAATCTCTATTAAAATGCAAAATGACATATTTTTCTCCAGGTAACAATTTGGACCACACTTTACAAAGAATGTGTGGGTCAGATATTACAAACGACTATTCATCGACCTTTTGGAGATTGAAAAATAATAATGCACCACTAGATCCCTCAATATACGAAGTCTAGAATTGAGCAGAATTTTTGACCTGCCTTTGCTTGTATTTGAATATAGGCTATCAAAAAAAAAAAAAAAAAGAGGCCACCTCTGCAAAGCCCTTTTAAGTCAATGGCACTCCCTCATTGTAATGGTCTCTTGGATGGTTTCGGTCCTCTTTTCATTCAAGTGCACAGAGAGTGTGGGGTCTACTCCAGCTGGTGGGAGTTCTGCTGTCAGGGAGTTTATGTTCTAGCGGGAGAAACACAGGTTTGCCAAATAATCCAAAGGATTGTCAATGGTGACAGGCCTCTGACAGGACCAACAGGGGGTCGTGGGGGGTGGGAGCTACCTGGGGAGGGCTTCCATTTCGGATAAGAGGGCTGCAGAGGGCCCCACCAAGGGGGTAGATTTTCATACAAAAATGTGAAAGCTGAGACGCAGGTAGCCCTCCACTTACTAACAGCTACCATAATTATTGTTTGCTACTATCAATTATTAAATCATAGTAATTAACATTTATGGAGTACTTTACCACGTGCCAGGCACTTAAACCCTGATATAGATGCCTCATTTAACCCTTTCAAAACCCTGTGAGAACATACCCATCATAGGCACAGTGTGTCCTATCCCACTGCACAGATGTGGGTCAAAAATGAAAAAAGTAAATTATATCAAAACCACCACGAAGAATTAGTTGCCAAAGGGCACATCTATACGCCAGAGAGAGACAGAGAAGGCGAGGAAGAAGGCAACCCCCAGTAGGGTGTGGTCATGCCTTCTCCACTTCTCCATCCTATTGGGATTTGGGGCTACCATGCTCATGCGCCCAGCATGTCTTTCAAGCCTCTGGGGCCAGGATTTGAACCACAGTTGGCCTTGTGGGATCTGGCTTCCTTAACCACTAGGCCATGCATGTGGCCTGCAAATTATGTCTTTAAAAGAGTTACACCAAAAAGATGATTTCAATAAGCACTTAAATTGATGAGCTGCTACGCAGGTTCCCGTTTTAGAGGTGGGGAACTTTGTATCTCTAGGGTAATTTCCCTGCATATAAACTTTCACGTATTATGAACAACCGGAGTTTTCTGCTTTTGGTGAGGCACGTGTTCGTTGCAAATGACGAACCCTGTTTCCAAGTGGCTTACATGGAAGTTCATATCTTACCGAGAATTCTGGAGGCAAGTCGTTCTCAGTGCTAATTTGGCTCACCCTGGCAGGGCTAATACCTCCACAGTTGTTCTGACTTCTCCTTCGTGGCTGCAGGATGGCATCACCTGGCAGAGAAGAGAGACCAGACAAGTATCTCTGTGTCAGTCTTTCCCAATGGCCATCCAGCGACTCCTCATCACGGGAAGCACACTCTGATGACTAGAGAGCCAGATAAATAGCTCTTAGTAGATGGTCACCGTCAGATAAAAACGTGGCCTTTCAATGACACTATGACACACATGCAGAGGCGTCTAAAATGTCTTGTTGCATGGACCCCAATGAAGCATCTCGAGAGACACAGCCAGTGCCTACAGTTTGAAGGTCTAGGGAAGTTAACAGGTAAAACCAAACCAAACCAACTTTTAATTCATGAAACTAATTTGCACAATTCTATGTAAATCCATTTGAAAGCCTAGATGAAGCAGATAACTGCCCAGAAAAAATACCGTCTACTCAAATCAACCCCATTGGAGGTAAGAAAGTCTAAGTTAAAAAGCTTAAGCAGAGCGTAGTTAGGGAGCTTCATGACCAAAAGGCTTCAAGCTCTTGTCAGAGGAAATAAAATGACGAGGAGGAAACATGAGGGAGGTTTCTGGGGTGCTAGTAAGTTTCTGTTACTCACTCTCTCACTCTGATTAAACAATGTATTCTACGTGAGAAATTTCATGGAGCTATCTACTTACGATGTGTGCACTTTTCAGTATGTGTACTATATTTTTAATTTTTAGAAAGAATTATTTTATTTAAATTTATTTATTTATTTATTTATTTATTTATTTATTTATTTTAATTTGACCAGAGAGAAAGAGGGAAAGTAAGAAAGCAAGCTGCCAGGTTTGGGACTTGAACTGCGGTCAGTCATGTGGGAGTCCAGTGCCCTTAACCACTATGCTACCTGCTGTTCCCTATTTTTAAATTTTTTATAATGGGGAAAAGGAAAAAAAAAAAAAAAAAAAAAAAAAAAAAAAAAAAAACAGGCCCAAAAGGTTTCACAGAGGAATTTTGATTCCAAAACAGGCCAAAGATCACACACAAAAATAAAATTACAGACTAATCTTATTTATAAAAATTAATGCAAATATCTTAAAATATAAGCAAACAGAATCCAGCATGTT